ACCAACATGCAGGAGGCTGAGGCAGGATGATCTAAAGTCTGTGCTACATAGTGAGTTCAAGGCCAGCTGGGACCACATAGCAAGATCCTGTCTAAAAATAAACAAAGAACACACAACTATTAAATATAGTTGCATACTATCCATTGTTACTTATTTAAATTTCCTCTGGTATTAAATACCTAAGTGATTTTCAAAATGAAACAGCAGTTTTTATTGTTTATTCTGATCATAAAAAATAATAGATGTCTTATATAAAATTCAAGCCTTATAGATAATACAAATTGTGGAATGTATAAATCCCCCCTCAATGCCACTACCAGGGAAACAAATATTATCAACAGACTAGTGTATATTATAAAATGTTTTTCTTTATAATAACACACACACATATTACCAAAAAAGGAATTCTGTCAAATATAATGTTTTCACAGTACTTTTTCCACTTCACAATTTATTGGTATTTTCCTGTGACAGTGGTGCATATCTGCCTCTGTCTCTTGAGCCCAAGAGTGCGAGGTCAGCCAGATCACGTCTCTTTAAAAAATTAAAAAGTACCACGAGCAGCTCGTGTGTGTATCCGCGTGTGAGACCGCAGCGATGCGGTCATGGGCTGAGCACTACAAGGGGAGTGGGCAGTGCCGGGGCAGTGTGTCCCAGCCCTGGACGCCGGGCGTTCTGAAGGGAGAATGCTGGCCAAGATGTGCCAACAAGTCCTGATTCCTATTAATTAATGGTAAAATACAAACAGGGAATTTACCATCTTAACTTTTTGTTTTTAAAGAGACGTGATCTGGCTGACCTCGCACTCTTGGGCTCAAGTGATCCTCCTGCCTCAGCCTCCCCATTGGGTGGGACTGTAGGTGTGCCCCAACGTGCTGGGCTGATGGCCACCTTTTAGGTGGACAGTTCGCCGTTGTTAGTTACAGTCACATTGCCATGCAACCAGCACCCCCTCCAGCCCTTCGTGGGCTTCTCAAGCTGGAACTGTATCCACCAGACTCTGCCTCCTGAGTGCTCCTCTCCAGCCCCACCTCCTCTCTGTCTCTGCATCACACACTCGTCCTTGTGCGGCTGGCTAAGTTTCTTTAGCATAATGTCTTCAAGGCTCATCCAGGTTGCAAACTGGAGTCCTGCTTTCTTTTATCTCTGTTAATTTCCACTATAATCTGTGACTTTCATCAGCATCTCCATTCTCCTGTGCCCACTGTGCATTTTTCTGTTAATGACACAGTTCCCGTCGTTTCTTTCCTCAATTCTGTTAACTCTTTCATTCTCCTGCCATAATCGTTTCTGTCTCTTCTTTGATCAAAGAGACTAAATTTTCTTGTTTCTTTACAAATGCTAGGTTGAAAGCAGACTGATTCTTGGAGACTTTCTTCTGCCAGTGCGTATTCTCCCGTTCTTCCTTCCTGGCTTGCTTTTCTCTCCACTTCATCTTGGCCGGAATCTCCAGCTGCCTCCCTTGGTTATCGCTCTCCCTTGCATAGAGACTGCTTCTTGGGCCAGGGATTTAGCTCAGCGGTTCGGTGGCCTGCCTTGTAAGCGCAAAGACCCAAGTTCAATCCCCGGTACCCAAAAAAAAAAAAAAAATAGAGACTGCTCGTTGACCCAAGCTGCTGTATTTACCTTGGCTTTTTTCTACTGTTCTCTTAAACTGCCTGGCTCTTGTCACCAGCTGCAGTCTCTGTGTAGCTCTTCTGTTTGTTGACAGAGGGGTTTGCCCTGAATTAACCGGAAGTCAGTGTCCCCGGATCCAGTCCACACAGTGGTGAGTCATCCCCGTGGAGCTGTGCACACATCCACAGAGGAATCCCCCGGGGTTTGTGCCACTTCCTCTCCTTGTCGCAGGCGAGAAGGTCATTCTGGTTGGAAGTGGGGCCCTTGTGATGGCAGAGGCACCCGGGATTTTGATGCAATGGATCCTTGTTCATTTATCTTTGCCTAAATACCTTCAATCCACAGTTGCATAGTTGATTATTCGGCAGTGGTGTTTTTTCCCCTGTGAAGCATTGATGTGTGGCCCTTCGTGACTCTTTTGCTTCAAAAACAAAACAAAAAACTCTTTCCACCTGATCCTCCATCCTTCACTCGGCCTGAATGTCCCTGAATCTCAACAAGCGGGATGACGATCGTGACAGGCTCTGGGGTCCGTGTGGCTGGGGTCACACCCTGGCTGTGCCACTTGCTGCCTAATAACCACGTGCAGTTTATTTAACTTCTCCAGGCCACAGTTTTCTCATCTTTCAAATGAGCCAAGTGCTAGTACTTACTGCAGAAGGTTGACAGGAGTACAAAGTGAGGATTAAATACGAAGACTCAGAGCAAATCTGACAGTGTCGGTGCTCGACAGATGTTAGCCATTGTCATATTTCTTGTAGTCTAGATTCAAGGAAAATATTCCTCTTCACCATTTTTTCAAGGTGCTCCAGAGAATGAAATTCAATAACATCTGTTGGGTGCAGTGGTGCACACCTGCTATGTCGGAGGCTGAGACAGGAGGACCTCAAGTTCAAAGCCAGCCTGGGCAATTTAGCAAGACCCTGTCCCAAAATAAAAACCAGAAAAGGCCAGAGTGGAGCTCTGTCATAGAGTGTCCTGATTTCAGTCTCTAGTACCACACACCAAAATAGTAATAACGTCTGGAAAGCCCATAGTACACAGCTTGGCACTTGGCAGGCTCTGGGCACGCTGGGAGGAGGTTAAGTAATGCATCTCTGCCTTAGGCCTTGGGATAGGAGGTCCCCAGAGTTTGTCTTTGCTCTGGCCCTGGAAGTCCTCTTTCCTCCCTAAACGCTTACTGAGCACCTCTGTCTGCTTACCACCCGCAAACCCAGTGAGTCAGATGCCTCAGGACCAGAAAGTGGGGTGGTCCCTGCACGTCCTCTTATCTCCTTGGCCTTGAAATATTAATAGGTCAACGTATTCAGCAGGAGCCTGTGATCATACCTTTTAATCCATTCCCTAAACTAAACTAAGAAATATTCGTGTAATTCGGAGACAGACAGGTGGACAAACCCGGCCTTGGATAATCTCAAACTCACCTCTTCCAGCTTTATTCTGGGCTCAGGTGTAAGTTTCCTGTAATTCTCAAGAAGTCCAAAGGGAAATATGGTATTTCTAGAGCATACCTCCAAACCTTGCCACTGAGCTTACCGTGTCTCACTAAAGCTCGGGCTGCATTGAAGGAGGAGGTGGGAGGAAGAGGAGGACGGCAAGAGACGATTCTGGCAAACTGCCAGCAAGTTCTCCTCCTCCTGACTTGAATGCCCTCTGTGTGTGATGGGACATTGCTGCACACACCTAAGAGTCCTTCCAAAACAGACCTGGGCATGGTGGTGCACGCCTGTAGTCCCAGCACCCACCCAGGAGGCTGAGGCAGAGGGATTGCTGTGAATTCGAGGCCAGCCTGGGCTACAAAGGGAGACTCTATTTCAAAAAAAAAAGCCAAAAAAACAAAAAAACAAAAACCACCATTTGGTGTATAAGGATTTAGAGAGCCAGGTGTCGTGGCACACAGGTGTAATCCCAGCACCCTGGGAGGCTAAAGAAGGAGGATTTGCAAGTTCAAACCCAGCCTGGGCAACTTAGTGATTTAGTGAGATCCTGTCTCAAAATAAAAAATAAAAAGGGATCAGGATATAGCTCAGTGCAAAGGCCCTGAGTTCAGCATCCAGAACTGCAAAAGAGGGGGATGTGGGGCCAGGGATGTAGCTCAGTGGTTCCGCCACCTGCCTTGCAAGCACAAGGACCCAAGTTCAATCCCTGGTATAGAAAAAAGAAAGAGGGAAAAGAGAGATGGGTTGGGGATTTAGCTCAGTGGTGCTGCTGCCTGTCTTGTAAGCTCAAGTTCCCGAGTTTGAGTTTGATTCCTGGTTCCCCCCCCAAAAAAAAAACAAAAAAGGGGGGTGTGGATTTAGAGGTTCCATGGAACCCACATGTAGACTATATCCAAGTATATAAAGTCAGACATTACGATTGTCTCCGTTACTCTCCAGGAGTGCATGGTGTCCTATCTGACTAGGACTGAGCTCTGCTGTAAAAAGCAGAAAACCCAAAATGACAGTGGCAGGGGATGTAGCTCAGTGGCAGAATACCTACCTCGCATGCACAAGTCTGTGGGTTTGATCTCCACAAACAAACAAACAAAAACAGTTAACAGTAGCTCAAGGAAGGTATAAACTTGCTTTTCTCGCAATGAGAAGTCTGGATCGGCAGCCAGGGCTACAACAGAGACCTGCTTCTTTTATCACATTGCCATTCTCAAGCACATTTACCAGCTCCAGGGTTGAGAGGCCACTGCAGTGTGACTCATTCCATCTTCCTCCAGTGAACAGGAAGGAGAAAGGGGGCTGGGTAGGGCATGCCTTGCCCACTACAGATATTTCCTAGCCAGGCCTGGTGGCGCACACCTATAATCCCAAGACTCAGGAGGCTGAGGCAGAAGTTTGAAGCCAGCCTCAGCTACATGAGTTCAAAGCCAGCTTGGACTACATAGCAAGATCCTGTCTCAGACAACAAAAAAAACCACTTTTTTTTTTTTCCCTAAAATTACACTAAACATTTCGATCCCCACCCCAGAGCACAGTCAAGTGGTGGGTGGGGCTTGGCTGTGCGTCACACATCGGCTGAGAAGAGGGCTGTGGGACCGAAGAAGCCCTAGGCAGTGTCCTTCACCTGTTTTCTCTCTCCTCCTTACCACTTCTTGCCTTTTCTCTGGACAAGCCTCTGCTCCGTTTCGGAGGCCAGGCCTTTGCACGGCTCCAGCTTTGGCCCTCGGTCTGTGGCTCCTGCCTGCGACTGCACAGAATCTCCCCGAAGCGTGGCTCCTGAGGGCCCCAGCCCGGGAAACTCAGGCCGCATGCGCTGAGTCGGTTTCCACTGCAGCCTTTCGGCCGGAGCTCCGAGCTGGGCCCTCTGGAGAGAGGCGCTGGACACAGGGCCGCCCAGGCAGCTCTCGGGAGGGCCCGGCCTTCTCACGGCGCCTGTTCTCTCCCCGGCAGGCCTCAAACCCGCTGTGGCAATCCCGGGGCTCCACCGCGGTGTCTTCTGGAGGCCGTTTCCGATGCCCGTCGTGCAGGCATGAGGTCGTCCTGGACCGGCACGGCGTCTACGGTCTGCAGCGAAACCTGCTGGTGGAGAACATTATCGACATCTACAAGCAGGAGTCCTCGCGGTGAGCGGACACCCACTCCCTCTCCGGCCGGGACCCAGCCCTGGGCCTTGCCAGCCGCCCGAGTCCGGCCCTGGCCTGCTGGAACGGGCTGTGCCTGGACGGGGTCTCCTCCGCCTCTCGGCACCTTCTTCTCCCCGGCCATGAGTGACCGGCGGCTGGCGAGGGGAGGACACCCAGGGTTCACATCCAGGGCCCGCCCAGCCCCGCCAGGCCCCTGACCGTCCGTCCGTCCACTCCTCCAGGCCCTTGCATTCCAAGGCCGAGCAGCACCTCCTGTGCGAGGAGCACGAGGACGAAAAGATCAATATCTACTGCCTGAGTTGCGAGGTGCCCACCTGCTCCCTCTGCAAGGTCTTTGGGGCCCACAAGGACTGCGAGGTGGCCCCGCTGCCCACCATCTACAAACGCCAGAAGGTATAGTGGGGGACGAGGAGTGGCCTTCACGGGAGGGTTTCCCCATAAACCTAGATTTAAAATGAGGTTGGCTGGCTTGGAAGAAGGAAAGGGAGTCTCCAAGGGGGAGCAGGTGGGATGGGGAAGGCGAGGGAAGGCAGAGCCCTACACCGCCAGTGCGGGAGGGACATCATTACCGGAGCCTAACCCAGGCCCCCTAAGCCTCTGAGATTACAGGGTCCGGTTCAATCCGAATCTAGGCGCTACACGGCCAACTGCGCCACCTGTCTTTTAACAGGAGCAAATGCAGATTCTGCTGGAGAAAGAATCACCCTCAGGTTCTCCCTAGATTAAGATCAACAAAATATTCCCCCTGCTGGGTATCTTCCCCAAAGAATTAAAAGAATCACCACAGTGATATGTGCACCCATGTTCATAGCAGCACAGTGTGTGATAGCTAAAACTGGGAAACAGCCCAATTGCCCATCTACGGGAGACCGGATAAAGAAGATGTGGTTATGGGCCGGGGATTTAGCTCAGTTGTTCCACCGCCCGCCTGCCTCACAAGCACAAGGTCCCGAGTTCGATCCCTGGTACAAAAAAAAAAAAGTGTGTGTGTTTTTTTTTAATAAAATGGAGTACTACTCAGCCATAAAGTGAGAAACTAGAAACATTGATAGCTAAATGGATGCATATTGAGATGATACTCTCAAGTGAAATAAATAGGATGCGTATAAATGCCAGTTTCTCTACTGTGAAAAACTGAAAGTGTAGATAGGACTAAAAGGTACAAAAGATAATGTGAAATAGGAAGAAAAGATACAAAGGGCAAGGGGAAGTGAGAGGGGTAGGAAAAAAAAGAAGGGAACTGAATTAATATGAAAAAATAGAAACAAAGCCTTTGTAGGTAGTGGGGTAGGATTGAAGGGAGGGCAGGTGAATGGGGGGAAAATAAGAACCAAGATGGATTATGTAAAGGTACAAATTTCCAATGATGAATATCATTATATTATATATCTTAAATGTACCAATAAAATTAATTGTTTAAAAATTAGCTCACAATTGACCGTACAGAAAGGAATTTACCCCACAACTGAAGTTTGTAGAAATAAAAATTGTAGTTTAGGCCCGGGGGTAGTTCAGAGGTTAAAATTATTACAGAATAGAAAGTCATTATGAATAAAATGGTTTTTAAAAGGAGGATTTTTTTTACAGCAATAATAGAATACCCAACATGACTACACAGCCACCAGCCATGGTAGCACATGCCTATAATCCCAGCACTTGGGAGGCTGAGGCAGGAGGATCACCACAAATGACCAAGGCCATCCTGGACTACATAGTGAGACCCTATCTCAAAAACAAACAAACAAACCACTACCCCACAATAACAACAAAAAATGACCATGAAGATTTAACAAAAAAACCAAATAGAGATTTTAGAAATAAAGAATGATTGTTGAAAGAAAGCATTGAGTGGATTAAATGAGCAGTAGATTTCTTTGGAGAGACTGAACACAGACTGACCACAGTCGTGGGAAGTGAGGAGGCTGAGGATAAGAAGGTCTAACATGAGTCTTGTCAGACTCCCAGAACGGGAGAACAGAGAATGGAGAGCCAGGGGTGGTGGTGCTTGCCTATAATCCCAGCACTCAGGAGGCCAAGCAGGCCTTCGGACCTAGTGAGAGCCTGTCTGGGACGGCGACACAGTATGACCTGAATGGTGTCACTGGCAATTGTCAGAACTAGCGGAAGACATGCGTCTACAGATGAAGCTTCAAGCCCAGTGCCGGTGGGAGCTTGGAGATGCCTCTTCCTTTCTCCTTTGGTGGTGCAGGGCTGCCCCTCCCCCAGAGCCCGCTGACTGTGTACCCCTGGGGGTGGGGGAGGAGCTGTCTCCTACTGGGTACCTGGCTGGGGTGAGAGCGCGCAGCTGCAGGCCAAGACCTCGGCTCTGAGAGCTGGCCTGTGTGTGTGGCAGAGCGAGCTCAGCGACGGCATCGCCATGCTGGTGGCAGGCAATGACCGCGTGCAGGCCGTGATCACGCAGATGGAGGAGGTGTGCCAGACCATCGAGGTGAGCCTGGGCTGGGAGGGGCGGACAGAGGCCCGCTGAGCTGGAGACCCTGAGGGCCACAGAGAGCCGCTCCTCTCTGACCACCTCTGGCCAAACTGGCCAGATTTCTGGGCTCCTGGAAGTGGTAGGGTATGCTTAGCCAGGCTGGTTGGTTTGAATCCCAGCCCTGCTGCTCACTAGCTCTGTGACTTTGGCCTAGTTACTTATCTTCTCTGTGCTTTGATTGTGTGTGTGTGTTTTTAACTGTATAAAATCGTGATGAACTTGGTGGACATGGTGACACACACCTGTAATCCTAGCACTTGGGAGGCTGAGGCAGGAGGATCGCTGTGAGTTCAAGGCCAGAATGAACTACAGAGAAAGACCCTGTCTTAAGAAAAGTTAATAAGATGATGATGATGATATAGTGATTACCTCATGGGTCTTTGGAGGGGAATTAAATGGAATAATATACCATATTCTGACTGCACCTAAGGGAGAGGTAACCCCATTGGGTCGGGTCAGTTTCCTTGGCTCTCTGTGAATCGTGTTAAGAGGGAGAGGGACCAGCATCTTGCTGTCCTATGGGGTCACAGCCACGCCTTCCCTCTTGCTCCTGTCTTTTAGGACAACAGCCGAAGACAGAAGCAGCTGTTAAACCAGCGGTTTGAGACTCTGTGCGCGGTGCTGGAGGAGCGCAAGGGCGAGCTGCTGCAGGCGCTGGCCCGGGAGCAGGAGGAGAAGCTGCAGCGCGTCCGTGGCCTCATCCGTCAGTACGGAGACCACCTGGAGGCCTCCTCCAAACTGGTGGAGTCAGCCATTCAGTCCATGGAGGAGCCGCAGATGGCGCTGTACCTCCAGGTGGGCCCCGGGGGAGACCGCAGCCCGCAAACGCGCTCCCTGCAGGTGGGGTTGGCGCCTGAAAACCCGGGTTCGAATCTTTCCTGTCCCACTTTCTCGCCTTGGGCAAGCTGCCCTCGCTCACTGTCTCCCCGACTTTGGGCTATGCATTCCCACCTCCCCGCAGGACCGTGGAGAATCTGAAAGGGGCCTCGCCCGGGGCTGGCCCGGGGCTTACTTCCGCCCTCCTCTTTTTCTCCCCTGCAGCAGGCCAAGGAGCTGATCAATAAGTGAGTAGCGCGGGAGGGAGGGAAGGAAGGGGCCGCGCGGATTCCCCCGGCTGAGCCGCTGTGGCCGCGGCAGGGTCGGGACCATGTCGAAGGTGGAACTGGCCAGCCGGCCACAGCCAGGCTACGAGAGCATGGAGCAGTTCTCCGTGAGCGTGGAGCACGTGGCCGAGATGCTGAGGACCATCGACTTCCAGCCCGGTGCGGACCCGGAGGGGACCGCGGGGTGCGGCGGGAGGGGTCCGACGGCGGAGAG